ACGCTTCCATGTACATGCTTTTTTCGTTTGTATTATGTAATGTATATTATTTAGTTCTCTCATACCTCTATCGGAGGAAGCAAAGGGAAATAAATAAATTATTATAAATTATTATTAATTATTAGCTCTATTGTATTCATTTTAAATTATGTTAATTCAGCTCTATTGTGTTCATTTGTATGTTAATTGAGCTCTACTGTTTTCATTTGTAAGTTAATTCAACTCTACTGTATTCATTTAAATTATGTTAATTCAGCTCTATTGTATTCATTAAATTATGTTAATTCAGCTCTATTGTATTCTTTTGTATGTTAATTCAGCTCTACTGTATTCATTTGTAAGTTAATTCAGCTCTATTGTGTTCATTTTTATGTTAATTCAGCTCTATTGTATTCATTTGGATGTTGATTCAGCTCTATTGTATTCATTTATGTTATGCTAATTCAGCTCTATTGTATTCATTTTAAATTATGTTAATTCAGCTCTATTGTATTCATTTGTATGTTGATTCAGCTCTATTGTATTCATTTAAATTATGTTAATTCAGCGCTATTGTATTCATATTTATGTTAATTCAGCTCTATTGTATTCATTTGTATGTTAATTCAGCTCTACTGTATTCATTTGTATGTTAATTCAGCTCTACTGTATTAATTTGTAAGTTAATTCAACTCTATTGTATTCATTTGTAAGTTAATTCAACTCTACTGTATTCATTTAAATTATGTTAATTCAGCTCTATTGTATTCATTTTTATGTTAATTCAGCTCTATTGTATTCATTTCTAAGTTAATTCAGCTCTATTGTATTCATTAAATTATTCAGCGCTATTGTATTCATTTAAATAATGTTAATTCAGCTCTATTGTAATCATTTAAATAATGTTAATTCAGCTCTATTGTATTCATTTGTAAGTTAATTCAGCTCTATTGTATTCATTTAAATTATGTTAATTGAGCTCTATTGTATTCATTTAAATGTTAATTCAGATCTATTGTATTCATTTAAATAATGTTAATTCAGCTCTATTGTATTCATTTAAATTATGTTAATTGAGCTCTATTGTATTCATTTAAATGTTAATTCAGCTCTATTGTAATCATTTAAATAATGTTAATTCAGCTCTATTGTATTCATTTGTAAGTTAATTCAGCTCTATTGTATTCATTTAAATTATGTTAATTGAGCTCTATTGTATTCATTTAAATGTTAATTCAGCTCTATTGTATTCATTTAAATAATGTTAATTCAGCTCTATTGTATTCATTGGTAAGTTAATTCAGCTCTATTGTGTTCATTGGTAAGTTAATTCAGCTCTATTGTATTCATTGGTAAGTTAATTCAGCTCTATTGTATTCATTGGTAAGTTAATTCAGCTCTATTGTTCATCCAAAAATATAGAGTACATGCAAGTACTAAATGGTTGAGACAGAATTCTGGTAACAAATCAAAATGTATAAGCACGCTGCATGACGTATTAGTTGTTGTCTATTAACCTTTTCGCCACCAGTTCCCTCTTTCCATCGCAAATTCACAAAATAGTCCTGTGTATAGTCTGCACTTTCCTTCAGAAGATTGTGGCAAAAATAGCCAAATGTTTTGAGCAAATAACTGAAAATTGACTAAAATTTTATTTGTTGGCTTTAAAATTAGGGTTCATTTCCAGAAATATTATAAAAAAATATAAAAAAAAAAGTGCAGACAAAATTAGCAGAGAAAGTCTGCTGGGGTTATGCAACTTTAATGTATTGGGTGTGCCTTATTTTGGAATATTTTGAAGCCATTTTTAGTTCGTATTTGCACACTCATAATAATTCTTAGTAATAAACATTTTTGATTTAAATGTTTTAGAAAATAGCTGGAAACTAACAAAAGGGGGCTATGTTTTGGCTGATTTTGTATTTTGTAATTCGCTCTAATCCAAAATTAATTTTGTACCAAATAACTAAAATCTATTATTACATGACAATTCTCGGATATCATGTCATATTTATGAATTATCTTGTTATTTTGATGATTTAGGAAGCAGTGAGTCCAAATACCAATATCACGGGTAAAACAAGCATGATATTGTTGTGTGTTAAAGGGGGGGGGGGGTCAGTGTGTCCTATTAGATATGGGATTCATAGTACACAACACATGTAAAATACATAGTTGACATGAAATTCAAACATATGCTGTGTTATGACCACCTCCCTTTAACATCTCTGTCATACATTTCATGATGTGCTGTGGGACAAATACAGATGATTTTGCAGCAGATTTTGTTATACGCTTCAGAGCTAGATGCCTCTCTAGATGCTTGCCATGAAAGGGTACTGCAAATGACACTCAGAGTGTTGTGCATTCTTGTTCAAATTTCGTGGAACACTTTATGATTGATAGAGAATATGCGTGATATTGCTCAATTTGATTCAGAAAATGTAGTAGGGTATTAAATAATTAATTTATGTAAATGATTTTTGAAAGTGTTAAATGTTGTTTGTGCTGTTTGATTTGATTCATAACACAGGATTTCACGGTGAATTTTCAATCCTCGGGCGGAGCTACGTCACAATACCAGGTATTTCTACGGGCTTTGTCCGAGCTTCTGTGGAGCGCTGGTCGAAGAGCCGGTAAAAACAGCTAATTTCAGGGAAGTCACAACAACCATCCTAAGTACTTTTTTCTGAGAGTTTTCAATCTTTGTTTTCATCGTGATGTTTGCCAGGTGGTAAAAATGCCTGGATGTCTGCCACCGAGAATAACCAAAACTGACACAACTTATTATTGTGCTTATACTCCTGATTTGTAACACATATTGACTCCATTATTTAAAGTGCAACTAAGTCAAGACTCCTTCTAGAAATTTTTTTTTACAGAAAACAATTCAAAGCAAAATCTTGCGTACCTTCTACAGAGTCTTCGCATCCTTTTTTGCAGCATCTTCCACCCAACCGTTTTTTGATTGCTTCAAACAGAGCATCTTCCACCATTTTTCTATTTTCAATGTAGTCTGTTGTGGAGTAAAAAGGAGCTGCACCTTTCAGCGCATCGATGCCGCTACCACGGAGTATAGGCTGGTATTGCAAGTCAAAAGTATCATGCAATAGAGCCAAATGCTCAGGTTGCAAGAAATATTGAAAAGAACAGCTCAGCCAAACCTACATTACAAAACAAACATGAAATGGTTGACAAGAAAACATTTAGTTTAATTTGGTGAACTGAAGATATCATTAGAATATGAACAAATCTAAGAGAGGTCTACTGAGGTACCTATATGTATAGTATCAAAGCAATTGGACTTACCGTTTTCAACAAGCAGTCAAAAATATCACTTTTTACCAAATATGAGGTCAATATACACTAAGTATCAAAGCAATAAGAATTGCAGTTTTCAAGAAGAAGTCGAAAAGGTAAAAAGTTTGGACGATGACGGTTCTTATGGCAGAGATATTATGTCATAGATTGGTGACATAGGCTGAAAAAATTAAATGGTGTACTTTTTGTTTGATATTTGTGAAATTGTTCTATAAAGATTCTCAAAATGCATCACTATAAAACACAAAATAATACTATTTCATTTTGCCATGGGACAAGACAGTGTAGCTCCAAGATTTTACATAATGAACATGGTGATCAACAATAAACATGTCATTCAACTAACTTCCTCAAAAAAATTATGAGTAGGCATCTACCCACATATGATATATCATACAATTGTTGCACTCTTTTACTGCCTGAGCATATACTTTGCAGTATTCTCGTGGTAACCTTATTATCCTGCATCTTTTTTCTGCCTGTTATTAATAATTTAGTAAAGATCATAAGGCTGATAAGACAATGAAAACATTTTTTTTTCAGATTCTATTTACAACACACAAAGTAGCACTTTTGCATTCCTGTACTAAAAAATAATTTATTTTTAATAGCTGCTAATAATTTTTGACTGTTTTCTATTGTAAAATGACTAATTTTCACTGGGTTTAAATTTCGCTGATTTACCATTTCAAGCATATTCAGTTGGTTTTAAATAAGCACATTTTTCAGTCAGCGAAATAAGCAAATCCAAAACCCAGTGAATAATTAACCCTTTTACAGTAAGCAAATTTATGATCATTAACACTTTCTGAAGATATACTCAAATGCCTTTTTGAGTGGATAAAATACATTTCAAGTGTTATCATTGTGAATAATGCCTTAAAAACTATCATGCAGTGTTTAACTGAAATCCATGCCAACTGATCGTGCTACAGAATCTTTCTTTTCTGACATGTGTTCTTTATGATTACTACCATTCGGAAAAAGTTTGATTCTCTCTGATTGGTTAGAGAATTCTTTACCCACTGAGTCAAAGGACACCTGTCGGTGAATTCATATGCCATCAAGTGATGAATCACATTCGCTCTTGATAAAACTAAATCAAATCTTATCTGTATTTTGTTTCAAACCAAAACTAGAAACTGACACATTTAAAAAAAACAAGTTGGGGGTATTTTTTTTAAATCTTGGTACATGGTTGCCTCTCACAAAATTTAAAAGATGTTGTTCTTATTTATAATGTAAAAAACTATTTCCTGACTGAAGTCAGTTTAACATCGCTTTGAAAATAATTGGACATCATCAATTTGTTCACTATACACTGGGCAGTCTTTACATTCAACGAATTTGTACTGAGCCACATGTAACAAAATCATCATCAAGTCTCTTTTCTTTTTCCTTTACTGTAATACGCTGCCTTATTTTTGCAATCCGATCTATATCACCACATACACACACTTAGAACATAACAGTGAACTACAAAGCCTAAGCTTAGTTTCATTTCAAACAACTCAGAGTATTTCTGGCTCATACTCTCCGCAGTGACATTTTAAGTTTGCAAACACGATTCAGTGGGTTTTGAACTCACGGTTTTATTATTTGGATAATGTGTTCTATGCTAAATTTTACATATTCACTGGGTTTTAATTTAGCGCATTTTCCATTGAGCGAAATAAGCAAAATTAAAACCCAATGAATAATTAATCCTTTTACACAACACTGATTTATGGTGAGTTGAATGTAAACTACATTAGGAAAAAGCTGTTTATACTGAATTTTATTTCCACTGATTCATCTCTTCAGCAGAAATAAATTCCAGGAGAAAATAAAATATTTTACAGTAAGCAAAGGAAAGCATTTGAAGTTGACTGTCAAGCAAAAACGACTCGTTGTCACTTTGGCAATCATTTGAATATTTACCTCCAATTTATCACTAGTGAATATAGCAATATCATCTACCATCACAACATGAGCGGCCGCTCGAAACGTCTTGAATGTCTTATCGGGTCCGATAGCATATTTACCAGCAGTGTACACCTTACTTGTGTCTACTGAACCAGTGGAACTTCTTTTAGGGAATCCATACTACAAGACAAACATACAATGTTAGCTTTCCCTATTCAACTACATGTACATGTGTATTTGTAATTCAGTGTTTGCTTTGAAACTGTAATGAAAGTATACATTTGATTATAACACAAGGGAACGCTATGATTTACAAGAAACAACATTCATAACACATGAGGGTGCTATGATATAGAAGAAATATCTTTTCCCTCGGTTCGATAGTATAGAGGGAAAATACAGTTTTCAATTTTACAGTGACAGTAATTGATGAGATGGGTGGGGCAATCAGATAGGGAGTAGTGGAAAGCAGTAGGAAGTTAGTCAGTCTAGTCAACAACTAAGACGTTTAAGTTCAATTACATAAAATATTTAAAAGTTCACTTCGTCTTCATCATGCTCCATGGAGTTGCATAAGCAAACTGCAAGTAGACCGGCAGGGTCTAATGCCTCCGCCGTGAAAACACCAACTATTACTACTATAATCGCTATGCCAGAAGAAAAGATTAACAAGAAAATATCTAATTCTGTTATTGAAAGATCTGGATCAACTTGTAATATCATGAGTTACAACGATGACTAATCAGCTGCAAGATGCACAGAATGCTGCTTCATCTGCTCAGATAGAAACAATGAAGTCGGTGAGATGGTCTGAAAAACCTACCTTTCGAAACAAACTACAATACAAGCATAATGAACGTGTATTGGAGCACATGGAAGAGCTGTTTCTTCAATCAACGAGGACTATGATTTACGAGAAACAATCAACAAATGAGGGCGATATTGTTACGTATTTCCATAGTTTTGAGTGTTGTTTGGTTTTGTTTTTTGTGAATGACACACCCATGCAGTGTCTATAAAGGGGTCATTAGACTTGAATTCAGGGTCATTTCATTACAATTCATTACAAGGTTCTGGTGTCACCACGTGTCGTGTGGGACAATTGGGTGCTGATTTTCAACGCTGTTACGTCTGGTCGTACGTTATCAATGCTGAACGTCTGCTATGCCATTCTCCACTGAGTTCAGCAATTGCTTCAAGTGTGTGTTCGTCGACTGACTACTGCAACTGAACAGCTAAAGAACCGTAATGTGTGTGTATATCACCGACTGATTACCTGAACCCCATGGCTGAGTATTGCAAGGTGTGCACGTCATTTTCTCAAGTACATGTTTCTATGTTGCCGTTCCAGCATTTGTGTATTTTCTTGTTACTGTGGCCAAAGGTATTTCTTATGGAACTGATTATTTTCACGTACTGAACTAAAGTGTTTGTGTATATATTTGTATTTATTTGTGCCTATGATTTGTATTTCTATGCCAGCATATTGTAATTGAGCATTTGTTTTGCGGGGCAAGCATTCTGAATAATTGTATATTATTTCTATTGAGTTGTGATGCGAATTTGTCAGCGTATTGGGCCACAATCAAGCGTAGTTATTGTAGTAACTGATGCGGTTTTGTGGTGTTTTTGTAGCAACTGTTTAATTAGTTGAATTGAAGTTTGTTGTTGTGAAACCCAGCTGTAGTCTGGTGTTAAGATAATATATTTATGGGATGTTCAGAATGCTTGGCCTTAGTTTGTAAGGAACTGAATACGACGAGAATGTCAGTGATATTATATGTATGTTGTATATGACTAATATTGAATGTATATAATTCATCGTAAGCAGTTTTCATATATTGTACAATCCAGTGATAACTTGTGCGCACAGAACAAATAAATTTACATTTTGATAGTGATTTAATCATTTAATCTGTCAATCCTTGTCATTTTCCTGGCGCTAGGAAGTAACACACGTTGCTTCCTAGCATCGGGTCGTGACAGATATGATATGATGTATCAAAAATAACAAATGAGGATGCTATGATATACAAGAACCGACATTCATAACACATGAGGGCGCTATGATTTAGGAGAAACAACAATCATAACACATGAGGGCGCTATGATTTATAAGAAACAACAATCACAAGAGAACTGGTGATGGTTATAGAACCATAACTGCCTCAGCTCAAAGATTGTTAAGTAATACAGGGGAATGTGAAGGGAAATGTATTGTAATGTTACTTCTGTAATTCACAATATATCTGCACTAACCTTCACTGTGAAGGACAATATGGGAGTTGACTTAAATGACTGGTAAAAGCAAGGCTGGTCAAATTCTGCGAAATAGTAGTTAGAATTTCCAGATACGCAATCGACACATTGTGAGATATCAAAATATGGATGATAAACAGCAAGTGATATTTCCAGAGATGTAGTTGGAATTGAAGCAAAGGAGTGACCTATTAATCCATGAAACATAGTCACACATATCCGTACATACATGTATCAATCTGTTTTATTGTGTGTGGGCAAAGCTGTCATGCACACAATCGGAAAAATATGTTATTACTTTAAATAATTATGAACAATAAAAACTGAAAATAAAAACTATGAACAATTAATAAGGAAATATGTTTCCAGAAAAGTATTACAAGTCCCAGAAGTGCATACGAGTCGTCAAAACGTACAGTCTGGTGACAGAACCCAAATGAGAAGTCTGGAGTCACGGCGAATACTCTCTAGCGAGCCACCCCTCTAAAACGTCATTACTGTGCCAATGACATTGAACTTTGCTATTCCATAAAGCAGCAGTTTCCATCTTCAAATAATCAAAATAAACTTGATACCCTGGCGAAGCATGTCTATTGTTTCACAACGACTGTCCCAGGGGATTTTCGACTTCTCAATTTCTCAAGATAAACGTCCCAGGGTTGTTTTGTGTACTAGAAGGACATGTTTATTGGCAGCATTTCTTGTATTAATTTCCATTGCACAAAAAAAAGAAGAAGCAAATACTGTTACTGAAGCACAGAATTTGCATGAATTTTTCTCCCCGGCCATTCACGCAAACTGAAAACGAAGTCTTTTACCTCATCCATAGTTGTTGACACTTTGCAACCGCCTTGATGGATGTATTGTGACGTATTTTGACCCCGGAGACTGACCTTGTGTTCCGGATACATGTACTGCCCTTTCATACCAGTTCAATTTCCTTTCATTATTACATCCAAATGTCATGATATTTAATATTTAAAACCAACCTTTATTTCACAGTCACTTTAGTTTTCACTTTTCTAAAATTATTTTACTGACCAAAAGACTTTTCACTTCCATCATGCAATCTCCCATAGTACTTCCGCAGACACAGAGGCGATCGCCAACATATCTACAAATAACCTCGCTCTCAGGAGCTGAGGAATAACACATTAGGGCTCTATGGTTTATGAGAAACAATCAACAAATGAGGGCGATATGATGTATCAGAAACAATACACGAGGGCACTATGATATAAAAGAACTGACATTCACAGCACATGAGGGCTCTACGATGTATCAGATATAATATCATCTCAGATACTTACCTGGTAGTACTCAACCCCAGAGAAACTTATTGATAGTAGAACAACCAGTACAACGCACACGACACCCACTATAATTAAAATACAAGTTCTAGCATTCTTTTCCATTTTCTATTACCCCGGTAATTATAATTTCCTGAAAAAAAAGGGAAAACAATTTTTATTAATCAATGCAAGTTCGACAGTGTATGTTCTGAAAAAGAACTTTTAAAGGTTCACAGAAAGAAACTAAGAAACGACTGAAAACAAATTGTAGTACTGTAAATACAGTACTAGTATTATGCGAGAATTTAAACAAAAAAAACAAGACAAACAAAGGTCATGGCATCATACTGATGTCAAAATATTGTGTGGGATTTGATTTTTTTCAGGGCATTTCCGAATTTGCTATACAAATTCTATGAAGTAAGGGTATCTCAAGGTCATATTACCCACTGAAAAATCGGCATTTTGACATTGAGCTTTAAAAAAAAGAAATTTGAATTCAAAATCAAATTATTCAATTTTTGTGAAAAGTTTTTGATTAAAGCGCGGTAGTTGTCGCATGTGAGACTTTTGTGTTGATAAACATTGATTTTCCCACAGTCCAATGCATTCTTCAAATGGAAATCACAAGTATGAGGTTTGACCTGGGCGCGACTTGCACTGATTACCGACGGTGACTCCTTCGATACCTTCCAATCACATGAAAATTGCCAAATTAAAGCTTGGAAATGTCTCAGTTTGTACTCGTTGATCTGTGCAAAGTCAAAGTCGCCATCTTTGTTTATATGAGACCCATATATATATACATATATATATATATATATATATATATATATATATATACATATACATATATATATACATATATATATATATCTACGACTACCGCGCTTTAAGCTCTACGTGAAATCTTGCAGTGAACAAAAACAAATCACCTATGTTACAAATGTATGTAATTTCACACATCCACACCAGCTGGTGAGCTAAAAATAGCAACAGAATAAAATCCATAGTTGGCATAAGCTGTGCACATGCCTTCATATTTTGGTAAACCATGTGTTGAAAATTACAGCGGGGAAGCTGTTTGTTACAATATGTTGGAAGTGGGTAGTCTCTTTGTCCCAGTTACAAGGACAAACTAAGGTCATAACATTATAGTGATGTAAAAACATTGTATGGGATTCAACAAGTGTGAAAGTAATTTTAAGGTTTTTAATTTTGCTATTTTCGCTGATACGCAAAATCCACTACTAAATACACTTGAACATAGGGAATAACAATAGAACTTATTGTTTCCCTGGCAAGTTTGCGAACGTAAAACCCAATGAAATTGCTCAAAACATCAAAATATGTTATGTTTTAAGTGTGTGTATGTGGTGATATAGATCGGATTGCAAAAATAAGGCAGCGTATTACAGTAAAGGAAAAAGAAAAGAGACTTGATGATGATTTTGTTACATGTGGCTCAGTACAAATTCATTGAATGTAAAAATGTAAAGTGAATAGCAAAAAAATTGAGGATGTCCAATTATTTTCAAAGCGATGTTAAACTGTCTTCAGTCAGTAGGAAATAGTTTTTTACATTATAAATAAGAACAACATCTTTTAAATTTTGTGAGGGGCAACCATGTACCAAGAATTAAAAAAAATACCCCCAACTTGTTTTTTTGATGTGTCAGTTTCTAGTTTTGGTTTGAAACAAAATACAGATAAGATTTGATTTAGTTTTATCAAGAGCGAATGTGATTCATCACTTGATGGCATATGAATTCACCGACAGGTGTCCTTTGACTCAGTGGGAAAAGAATGCTCTAACCAATCAGAGAGAATCAAACTTTTTCCGAATGGTAGTAATCATAAAGAACACATGTCAGAAAAGAAAGATGCTGTAGCACGATCAGTTGGCATGGATTTCAGTTAAACGCTGCATGATAGTTTTTAAGGCATTATTCACAATGATAACACTTGAAATGTATTTTATCCACTCAAAAAGCTCAAAAAGGCATTTGAGTATATCTTCAGAAAGTGTTAATGATCATGAATTTGCTTACTGTAAAAGGGTTAATTATTCACTGGGTTTTAAATTTGCTTATTTCGCTGACTGAAAAATGCGCTAATTTAAAACCCACTGAATTTGCCTGAAATGGTAAATCAGCGAAATTTAAACCCAGTGAAAATTAGTCATTTTACAGTAACTAGTGTATTGTTTATAAGATGCTACCACATTGTGCGATCAGGTCAAGTGTTTACAAATTCTAATCCATGAAAGGCAGATTATCAGTCAGAATATATAATTATAATAACAATAGGATGATTGTCGCTAATTTGGAGTCCCGGTCGAACCGAGTAATGCTGCCCAGTATTGCAAGTTTTAGAGGTTTAGTATATTTATATGTACTGTATATATATAGATTTAGGGGCTTACTACTATTTATTAACAGATTTAGTGTCTTACTGGTATGTATATATATATATAGATGGATAGATATATATTTTATTTGACACAAAATTTAGTATGAATGAAAAAAAACATACAATAAATCAATGGTCAGGAAAAACACAAATAAAACAATAGACTAAACTAAAGCTTAGAAATAAAATCAATAAATTTTCCCAAGCAATTGACATTGAAGCTATCTTAAGCGCCTAGCAAGCACTTGAATTTCTCAAGAGTTGATAACTTGCAAATGTTGTCATCATAAATTGCTAATTCAGCTTCAAATTTAGTACGAGCTTGAACAATTTGACTATTTTTACATGTGAGTAATACATGAAATTCATTACCAATAGCCTGTTCATTACATAGAAACCAAACCTTTGCTCTGGAGGTGTTTTATTATATCTAAGTTTTTCAATTGGCAAAGATTGAGAAGAAATGCAAAACTTAGTGAAGCTGACTCTGTGTTGCACATTTTTGATTTGCTCTAAATATGGTTCAAATTCAAAGTTTTGTTTAAACTTGTTATAAGTACGTGGTTTATTCTTTTCTGGTTTAAATACTGATGGCAACCAGACTTTATTATAGTAAATTTGTTTGAATTTGGTTTTGAATTCTATAGTGTTAGATTCATCACTAATTTTAGCTAATGTAAATAATCTTTAACAAATGCTGTCCGAGAATTACCATTCATTTTATTGTCAGTATTGAAAGCACAGTCCAGAAGATGATTATTTTTAATTGATTTTAGCCTTTCATAATACTTCAACATGAACTAATGTCAATAATTAGAGGATAGCTACCAAGTTCAGCTCTAGTTGCTGCATTGCTGGCCTTATTATTAACACCTAAAATCTGTTTCCAAAGTTTAATGTGGAGTTAAATAAAATTGTCTTCAGTTATTTCGTTATTTTTTGTTTTAACAAGTTTGAAAGTAAAACCCCCCCTATATATATATATATATATATATATATATATATATATATATATATATATATATATATATATATATATACTGTAAAATACTTCATTTTCGCTATATTCACTGAAAGGACGATTCAGTGAAAAAAAACAGTATTTTACATTCAACTTGTCAAAAATCAGTGAAAATAAATTTCATACAAAGCACTCAAACAGTCTTTTCAGCGAAAATTAATTCCAGCTAAAATAAAGTATTTTACAGTATATACATATATACACTAGTATACTAGTAGTGCTAGTGGTGATAGGTAGTGCTTTGAATAGAATACTGGTATTCCTATCCAGTAAGTATGGTAAGCATAGCAGCGTAAATTACCTGAAGAATTAATAGGGCTTAATTTCCTATTTTTTGCCTTCAGAATCTTCTTACATGTACATGGTATTTTTAGAGGATGTGGAGAATGGAAACATGCGCATGGCAAACATAATCCCTTTGTTCTAGAGAAGAAGGGATCGAAGTAGACATGAATACAGAAATAAAATATTTTGAGAGTGTATAAATGCAGAAAGCCAGGTTACAGCGAAAGCTAGATTACCGTGGTAATCCTTTTTTTTCGCTATTCGCTCACTCGCACTTGCAATATTTTATTTTATTGAAAAGACACCAAAATATAAACAAGAGATTGTATGCAATTCCAGGATCAAAGTTGATTTTAATTTATGTGTACAAAAATCGCCTTTGATGTTTTTTCATGTGAAATTAGACTGTTGACAGTGCTCAGGCCTAGTTTGTTAGTACCGGTATACTAAATCAGCAAACCCTGTTTCTAATGTCACAGCCTGTATTTCAGAGAAGGCCGGAAGCATGAGGACTGTTCACTACTGCATAGTTTCCTTTCATACTAAATATGCATGCAAGTGAATGACGTAACTCGATTATAATATTAAGCAGAGCATGGCTCAGTTCACTTTCTGTTTAGAAGTCAACAGAATAAAGCATCCATGTGCTTTTTTTGCTGTTCTTTCATGGTTGAGATCAGCAGATATTTTCAGAGTTTTAAACCGGATACCAACATTAGTAAAGCTTATTTATTATTACTGCAGTATCGCATATTTTGACGGTCATTGTGATTGGCTGGTTGCTTTGTGACGTTGCATGGGCTGTCAATCGTTCTTTGTACAGTATCACTGGAAACCCACATAATGTCGTTAATAGTCCTCAGACCTCCGATCTTTGCTGAAATATCTGCGCCATTTCTTGCAAATGACTTTGGCATTTGTCGATTTGGTATACTAATAAATTAGGCCAACATGAATTGGCAAGAATAAATAAATAAATGTATGATACACACAGTAATGGTAGTGCCTCTACCACAGTCCAGACTACTACTGACTACATTTCCACTGTGCCTTTGTGGACTTTTTAAATCCAATTGATAAGTTACTGGAAGCTTGAAACTTTTGTGTACTGTAATACTCTTGAAGCAATAACAGTTTTGCAAGTCAATAATTGTGTGCTTTGTGTAATTGAGTACATTTCTAGGTTCAACCATCACATATTTTGTTTGGAAAAATTATGCAAATAATATGCAAATGCTATGCAAATTAGTATGTACATTTTTACCAGATAGTGTCCCTGTCTATTCGCAATGCATGTAATATGTGTGTTTTTATTTCTTCTAGTAACCATGGTGACGATAATATCGCTCATTTTTTGTACATGCAATACAGCATTTCCAAGCACCCTCTGCTTTCCATGACACAGTGATTTAAACTATGTTTAATCTCAGAACACTAATAACACTGAATCAGCTCATTTTCAAACACTCACAAAGAGTCAGACTTCAGATCTTCATCGCATATCACCGTGCATGATTACAATTATCTTTAAAACTATTGGTACTACATGCAGTTCACCCCCGAGTTCACCGTCCACCCCACTCAGGATCCATAGGGGGCCGCATGCATGCGCGTTCCCATTTTCTCGGGAAAGAGGGTACTTTTTGACGATCTGTCTTGGGAACATTTTCCCGAGAAAATCGTAGAAAAGGGGGTATTTTTTGCTTGTTTTCCCGAGATTCTCAAAATAGGGGGTGTATTTCAAAACACTTCCCGAGATATACAAAAAAGGGGGGTTTAAAAGGAGTTCTAGACTGAAAAGTTCCCTAGATAGGGGGTGAAATTCATCGGAAAAGCCCGTGAAAGGGGGGGTTAAATTTTCTTCTTTTCCCTAGATAGGGGGGGGGGTAAAAAAAATGAGGGAACAAGCATAGCCCCCCCTAAATATAGGGAGTGGGGGGGGGGACCGTCCATCAAAACCGCAGCATTGTTTCGATTTGCATTTCGCAAAAAAAAAATGCGGAAGCGAAATAAGTGAAAGTCATTAAGACATTTCGCAGTTTTAAAAAAAGCTTAGAAATGTTTTTCCGTATAAAGTTCGAATCATGGTGCGATGGAAACGACAGCAATCAAGAATATTAGTATAAATTATTAGATACCTGAAGCCTGTAGGAACTTTTGTTTTAACCTTGTTGAGAAAATTCACAAGACGGACTCAGAGAGTCGCTGTCACACTATAAACGAGAACCATCAAATCACGCGAGAATAATTTAGACTGTGTGTCTACGACTTAAGGGGCGTGGTTGAAATATTTCAGTGAGTTAGAGAGTCAGAGAATCAGTGTCCAACATGGCGCCCGGTGGCCCGAATGACTCGATCCTGGCACACTGCAATGTAAATACAGCCAAATACGTCGCCTTCTTGCTTGGATTTATTCTGGTATTGTCACATGGAGTTAGATACTATTTGGAAGGTAAGTTAATATTTTCCTGGGCAGTTTGAAAGAAAAAGACAGTCGCCTTGAAAATCGCAAGTTTCCGCTCGGTCGTGTCTGCCAGTCTGGCTCGGAAGTGACTGCATCGCCAACAATATTTGTTTGTACACACATTTTGTTTTGGAGCAAACGATCAGAAAGTTAACCGAAATGCACAATCACGCCAGAATTCAGTGGTTTTAAACACATACTACTCTACGTATAGAATCTCCACACTGTATCACATCACGTTTGAACAGCGTCCGAGTTCTGATTTGTCACTATTTGACACGAAACCGTTCGACGTGGAAAAGGGAGAGTGACCTTTCATTTAGGTGTCACATGAACCGGTGACGAACGCGCGTCGGCGGACCTTTCGCTTTCAGACTGTTTATTGACGATTATGCTTTTATTTTGTTGTATTTTACATGCAATTGACGGTACATGGTTAGACCATATTTTTTTTGAATCTGAACGATAAGCGGTTGAAAGTGGTAACAACGTGTCAACACTTGGTTTTTCGCTACACCCATGTAATGATGTAGTAACCTTTGTTATATTATTCACAATTATTGTGCACTGACAATATTTGCACCATATCTAAATATAATACTAAATAAATATCAATATATTATTATCCAAAATTGTGTGGTTCTCAAATGCACACAAAGTACACATTAATGCAAATATGAGATAGATTTTTTTAAATTACATCATAAGTTGTCATTCTGGTTTTTCTGGAATCTAGCATTATTCTCTGAATTTCTGACTCTGCATTTTTGTTATAAAGTTTCACTGTAATTGTACTATTCAAAATATAACAATTAATAATAAGCTAATTTGTATAAATTTGATGGGACACATGATGTCCCACCAAAAAGAAAACACACTTCTTTGGATTTGAGTATGATGCAAGGGTAAATGTATTATAAACTTCCATTTGTTGAAAACCACAGTACATCATCTGCTGTATGTTTCAAATTACTTTATTTGTCTGTATTGTGAACACTATTACTAACAAAGAAATGATGATCGTATCACATGTACTTAGAGAGAGAAAAATTCAAACGATGAACAGGTGTGTGTGTTGTGCAGCGTGAAGTCATTGCCATTTGGTTACTAGTAATTTGAATAGGAATGAGTGGGAATTCAATAGTTTTTAAATCAGAATATTTGACAACCAGGTTATTGAAAGACTCAGATTATATAGTAATTTATAAATATTATGTTTAGATGCTGATTTTATAGATTTACTTCTGTAACTATATCATACGATACCTTTTATGCCACCTATATAGAGGACTGCTAGCTGAAAATTAACACCATATTTGAGTTTTGCAGTAGTTCTTTAACAGCTGCAGGGTTCTCCACGGTTTGAAAATTAAACAGGGCGCACCAATGTGAAGTGGGCGTGGCACATTTGTAACGTGCATCATTGGCAAGGATGTTGAAAAATGGAAACCAAAAAATCTATTAATCTACATATTATTACATATGCATAATATATATTTATTATTACAAAATGAATAGGAATTTTGAAGAGCTATTATTAAGTAAACGTCAGCACGTACAATCAGCTGATTTTAGCTGCACGATTCCTCAAGCGGCGACATCAGTTGTTTACAAGTAATGATCACGTCCAGAAAAAGACGTAACAAGTTTGTTATTTTATTTTCCCAAATAGATACATACATGCTTTATTTAATTTTTAGCAAAAATTTATATTTATGATTTATATTTATTTGGACGAAGCAAAATAAAATGTATGTCGCACAAACGTTCGTAATTGGTTCATTAAAAAACTTGCATGAATGGCACCAAAAACCAAGGTGATCAAAAGAAATAAAATGTACACAATAGAAGATTTTCGATCTGCAGTTAACAGTTA